GATTAAAAATGACTTTTCTCATTCTCTAGTTGATTACCTCTTGTAAGTTTTTTTCTTAAATAGTTACGGTGAAATTGTTATATGAGAATGAATATGATGAATATTTAGAAACAACTGACAAATTCAAATATATATATATATATATATATATATATATATATATATATATATATATATATATATATATAGAGAGAGAGAGAGAGAGAGAGAGAGAAAAGAGAGGGGTAAGTTCAATTAAGAAAATAAAAAATATTGAGGATGGGGGAATCATTCTCAGCCAATCATTTATTTTTGCTGCAAAACGCTTCAGCGTACCGGGCCGATGGATGATGAGTAATATTCATATATAAATGTAAATATAAGTGTATTCATATATGCATCCACCACATTTCTCCGTCACCAACCACCGTCAACACTGCCACCTCTGCCACTACCACCTCCGCAACCAACCACCGCCACCTCCGCCACCACGCACCGTCGTCATATGCATATATGAATAACCAGTTTCATTATACTTATTCATATATGAATATATGTATTCCTATATGAATACACTTATTTATATATGTATATATATAAATATCCATATATTTATTAATATATGAATATGACATGTTATGTCGGCCCGATACGCTGGAGCGCTTAAGCAGCAGATTCAAAATGAGTGGTCCAGATTTATTCTCTCATTCTCAACCTTTATTTTTCTCAATTAAACCCTTTTCTCTCTCTCTCTCTCTCTTTCTCTCTCTCTCTCTCTCTATATATATATATATATATATATATATATATATATATATATATATATATATATATATATATATATATATAGAGAGAGAGAGAGAGAGAGGAAGGATCATTTGAGAACCTATAGTTTCCCGAGAACCCGAGAACCAAATAAGCACCGTTAGATCAAAATAATAGAAGGTCAAGATGATTTGTGGCATTTTTGTAAATAATTGGAAAAATTAAACACGGGGGTATGGTGCTGAAATTAATCGAAGGGCATTTATGGTACTAAATTCATATCATCATCTCCACTGAATCAATCGATGTCGTCTTTCTCCCTAATTCTTCAATCGTCTGATCATCCCTCTTTCTCTCACACACACGTACACACACATCTTCATTCTTCACTCCCCGCCATCAGACTCTGTCGTTTACATCCGTAGTTGATTCATCGATTACCGGATCCGCCTCCTCAATTGACCCCCTGCGAAGTTGAAATCGGAACAAAGCCATCGATTGCGACGATTGAGACGATGTCCAACTCGATTACGTGAAAAATGAATTAAAAGCATACACAAAGCAGATTCTCGATTTGAATCTTGCGGATGTTAATTTGAGGAACGCACGGTTGCCTTTCTTAATTGACATCAGATTGTCGTCGACGCTGCCTCCACCACCATACCATCGCCACGGCTGCCACTTCTTTTTAATTCAATCTGCAATACACTACGATACAGGTATTTGTACACATTTATCAATATTTACTTACACATGAATACGTAATATCATACATACTACAGTTTCCCCATTTTTGTATTCCACCTATAAACTGTATCTGTCCGCGTGTGATTATTACTGGAAGTCTGTTTTTGATCAAAAAATTCACTTGTTACGAACCGATAACTCGCCGTTCTAGTCTGTACATACGTTTCACTATTTTGTTATGATTATGGATTATGCACATAACCTGTTTGATGAATTGCCACTCAATCAAAATCTTGGCTAGTTCATTCATATCTAGAATCAAATCATTCCAGTAGAACACACACACATCTGAGAACTGTATCCTGTGTATTTTTTCAGAGTATTAACTACAAAGGGTGGTAGATGTGGAATTTTGCCCGACGTATGGGATGTTGTTGAAGTATGAGTTGCCAAATTTGCATCTTCCTGCCAGATTTTTCTGCCCCACATGTCCATATATTAGCCAAATAGAGCAGAAGGTAATAAAATTATCAATTTATCATACTCAATCATGCAATATTGCAACACATTTTTTTCCTTTTCCTTGTAGTTAAATGCATCTTTTTCTTCCCTTTTACAAGTCAGATCAAAAGAAAGCAATGTTTGGTTAAAAAGGAGATTGACCCCATCATCACCCAAGATGACATGAAGAATGCACCAAAAACAGATCAAGGTATTAATATGCTTCACAATTTTGAGTAAATTGATGCAATTTTTCCTTGTAGTTTCAAACAAGGTCAGCTGATGAACCCATGTCAATAAACTTCACCTGTGAGAAATGTGGTAAATGTTGGCGTGAGGACTAAAATTAAGACCAAGGGAAACCTGCATTTTTGCCTCAAATATTGAAACAAAGTGTTTCTATTATACTTTTGGTACTAATGAAATAAAGGTATGATTTTTTTTATCTGTTTTACCTTTTTGCTAACAAACATGAATCTACAAATGCTACTAAAATTCAGAATTCAGCTTCAGGGTTCAAAAGATGGGGACGAAAAGGTCCATTTATCAGATATTGTGATTTACACGTGAATCACTTGTGATTTACATGTGAATCACTTGTGACACATGTGAATCATTTGTGATTTACATGTGAATCACATGTAATTCACATGTAAATCATCTTAATTATTTATTTTTTCTAACCAAATAGTTTATTTTAATTCCTTCTATATTGAGCTTCATGAATCACTTGTGATTACATGTGAAACACTTGTGATTTACATGTGAATCACTTGTGATTCACATGTGAATCACTTGTGATTCACATGTGAATCACTTGTGATTCACATGTGAATCACTTGTTACACATGTGAATCACATGTAAATTATCTTAACTATTTATTTTTTCTAACCATATAGTTTATTTTAATTTGTTTCATTTTAGCAATATATCACAATTGAATCACATATGAATTACATGCTATTCACATGTAAATCACAAGTGAATCATATGTAATTCACAAGTAAATCACAAGTGATTCATATATGAATTACATGTGATTCACATGTAATTCACATGTAAATCACAAGTGAATCACATATGAGTTACATGTGATTCATATGTAATTTACATATAAATCACATGTAATTCACAAGTGATTCACATATGAATTACATGTAATTCACATGTAAATCACAAGCGAATCACATGTAAATTTTATATGAATTACATGTGATTCACATATAAATCACAAGTGAATCACATATGAATTACATCTATATGCACACATGTATTTTTGTGAGCTTATTGCATTAATCAGTTTTTTTAAAATTTTCTTGTAGCTTTGGAAGAGTTTGTGGAAAATATTGAAGAGGTGAAAATGATAAATTAAAGAAAATATGGAAATCTTGACACGAAGACATGAAAACGCTTTGAAATTTTGTAGTATTTTTTATTGTTTTAATATTTTATTTTGTATCGAATAAAATACTTGTACTATTGTGTTTATAGATTATTAAATAAAAATGGATTTTTTTTATATGATTACTTACGAATATTATAGTATAAGAAAGATACATATATGTACTTGAAAAATATGCATATATGCACCTAAAATGTTGATTTTTTTGCTAAAAAATTAGAGTTTTTCTTTATTAATATTCTAGTTTTTTTTTAATTTATTGATTTTTAAAAATTTACTTTAAAAAAATGCAGTTTTATAAAAAAATTGCAGTTTTTTTTGGAAAAATTGCAGCTTTTTTTTTTTGAAAAAAATGCAGTTTTTTTAAATGTAGTTTTTTTTATAAAAAATGCAGCTTTTTTTATAAAAAAAATGCAGTTTTTAAAAAAAAATCATTTTTTTAATTAAAAATGAAAAAATCTCCATTTATAAAAAAAATCAAAAATTATTTAAAAAAAAAATTTTCGAAATTTGATTTATTATGTTTATTTTTAGAACTTTTCATTAATATTTCCAATAACAAAAAAAAAATTAAACATTAAATGAGACCGGTAAGATGACGATCATGCCCTTAATGAGTTAATTTTGATCTAACGCTCCATCTTTAGTTATCAGGTTCTCGGGAAACTATGAGTTCTCAACGGGTATATATATATATATATATATATATATATATATATATATATATATATATATATATATATATATATATATATATGGAGAAATTAAATATCCTCCTACTTTTCCTCCTAATTATCTTCCTACCCACTTTAAATGATGACAAGTGTCTTAAAATATAATTAATTTTATCAAAATATGACACATGTCACCATTTCAAAAGGGTAGGAAGATAAGTAGAAAGAAATGGTAGGAGGATATTTAATTTCTCATATGATATAGTTTTTGGTAGGTAAGGGTAAACTAACGAGGGAAACATCAATATGTCCAAAGTGAGATCATAAAAACGATGACGGATAAGAAACTGAGGGCTATGCCTGAGACTAGGATTCTCATGTTTGTGGTCCTATATTTTGTTGCACTAACTCGATTGAATATTTGCCAAAAATGCAACATATTTTCCTTTTTTTTTAAATGGTTTTAGTAATAGGGGTTTTGTTGGACGATTTAAAAGTTAAAAGGGTGTAAAGAAGTCGTTCGAACTTTCTTTCGATTTCAACAACCGATTTGAATCTTTTTTAATGTAATATTAGAGTTTCAAAGATATATTAATGGTGATTGGAAATTAAGATGTATTCAAAGTGTTATCTCATAATATTTAGATTTATATTTTAGGTATTTCGTTCTAAAAACTTAATTTGAATATGAATATTTTGTTCGGGAGATCCCTAACCCCACTATAAATTCTATAATATATAATATATTCGGTGTTAAAGTTGCTTTAACGTTTAAACAAACACTAAATAGTATATATTACATCAAATTTGATGCCGGTAAATAATAATAGATATAACAATTATTTTTGTTATAAACTAGGGAAGTCTCCCTGCTTTGCGGGGGTCGGATTTCAGTTAAACCATTTGCGAGATATTTTCTTGATATATTTATTGAAATATACATATTATCAATCAATTGCATAATCCATTAATGAAAAAAAAAAAGTCAAAAACATCATAATAGCATTTTACATTGTGATTTCTTTTACTAAATTAATGACAAAGGCAATGACATTAGAACATGTGAAGTTGCACGTAACGAAAGACACATGAATGTCAGTTTTAGGGTATTGGTCTTTGTTGAGTTATGGTCAGTTCCAAAATTAGTGATTGGTAGTTTGAAACATTTGCCATTTGAGTAATTTACTTCTAGCCGAGAGAACTTCAAAGCTTTCCTGAAATTATAACCTTATTTGTCATGACAATCTGCAAATGAGATGACCAAATCACGTTTATTCAAGTAAACAACTCATATTTTGCTTTAATAATCTATTAAAACCTGTCTTACCTTACGACCATGTTGTTTGAGTTCAGCCATATTACCAAAATATCCCCTATTGACTTCATATTTGCTGGCCAAAATCGCAGAAACTTCAACAAAAATTCAACCACATCTTAGACAATAATCCAATGAAGATTCAAGCACAATCATGCAACAACAAATCATAATACTTACGTCCCACGATGATATTTGTCGATAGCATCTTTATTTCCAATCTGCATTCAAATTTGGATTTGTTATTGATTACAAGACGATAACCATAATAGTATTATAAGAAATAGAAAAAACACCAATTGTTGCTCAACAACATCATAAGTCAAGCTCATGTAACACAATCACATGATTTCATAATGTCCAGGATTTTGGTTTCAGCAAAATATAATATCAAATTAATTTACCTAATAGAAATCAAGGAACCAATCAGAGGCATGTGAAAAAACCCTAGTTTTGGAGCCGCTCTTGTAGCTTACTTATGTGTCTATGTGCGACAACATGGAATCTGGAATAGACGGAATCTAAGAAAGAAGAAGCCACTGTGATTTTGAAAATTAACAAACTTCAACAATACCCCAAACAATCTCAACTACATTCATTTAATAAATAACTTAGCAAAGTAGCAAACTGTTAATATAAAAGAGTTAAATCACAAAAATGACAATAATAGGTAAGAGTATAACACCAAAAAATCGCAATGAAAAGCGTCCATTGTCTAATGGATATACAAAAAAAATTATCAGGCCTATATATGATATATCAACTTCACTTTTGGAAATAAGAATGTAGGAACAACTCTAGACCATTGATCATAATTAATCTTGTGATTATAAATTAATGAGAAGTTATTTACTAAAAGGGGTAAAAAGTAATCTTAAATTTAGATTCATTATTTTTAGTTATTAAAATCTCAATTAATTGGTCTGTAATGGTCAAGAAACAAATATGCAATTTACCATATCAACCTCCAACTACACAATGAGATAAAATAAAGACCGTTTTGCAATTTTACCCTTCGCTTCCATTTCATTGCTTTAAAAGATTACCTTTAAAAAGCGGGAAATAGAAAATGGATATAAGTTATGCATCAAAAAATCTGTACACCTGCATACAAACACCAAGTCAAGTATCATTGTACTATGAAAAATCGAACCAGACAATTTAAAACCCAAAATGAAGGAAATATTAAACGAAGGTAAGTTAATCTAATGGAAAAATAGATTAAGATAGGTTTTTTGTTTGTCTGATTCCTTTACATTTTTCATTTTAGATAGTACTTTTGATATTTGATGGTAGAATCCTTAAGTAGCTTCATAGCATTTTACCATAATCTTAAATACATTATTTCCTTTCTTTCCCTTGACCACCACCATTTGAACCTTGAAAATGAAAACAAAAAATATGATTTCTGTAACAACGTAAATTTCCAAAACAATTTTTCATTTTTAAAACATACTTTCATTCATAAGGTGTTATCAAAACATAATGTATCCAATGTTATCATGACAAAACATATCCCATAATCTCAAGACAAACTCCACGAGTGTGTACGGATCATGCCGGCGCCTTACCGCGATCCTCGCTAGTACCTGAAACACATAACACAACAACTGTAAGCATAAATGCTTAGCGAGTTCCCCAAAATACCACATACAACACATACGCCTTTCCAGGCTATAACTCTGTGGGACCTTCCGGTCCAAGTGTCTCAGGGGACTTCCGTCCCAAAATCCCGGTAGACCTTCCGGTCCTACCCGTATCGACCTTCCGGTCCGTAACCTCCCGACCTTCCAGTCCATATCATCTTGACCTTCCGGTCCTTATCATACATAACATTCATAGCACATACATATCACATAACAGCATACAGCACATACATCTCATAGCATATAAGACCTTCCGGTCACACATAGGTACCCTTCCAGGTACAGTATAGTGAGAAGCCTCACCTCAATGAAGTCGGATAAACTCTCGTGCTCAACGTCCCGACCTAGCCTCCTCTTATTATTCAAATAACATTCGCGATCAATATTCTCTCATAGTCTCATTTCTAAAGATTGGGTAGAAGGCCATTCTACCCCTCCCTGAACTCCCTTGAATCAGTCTTGACCAAAACCCTAAGGTCAACGGAAGTCAACGGTCAAACTTTGACCCGACTCGTCGAGTGCACATGGGCGACTCGGCGAGTCCATGCGGGTCCTCTAAATCCTTCCAGCCTCTCTTGGCTCATCGAGTCATCCCTCCACTCGACGGGTTCCTCCTATCACGAATCGCGGGGCAACCCCGACTCGACTCGTCGAGTCCACTTTTATGAACTCGGCGAGTTGCTTCCATGCTCACACTCAAATGACCTTCTGAGGTCAGATCTGCTTCTCTAATCTATAGATCTGACCTTCCCAAGCATGATAATCGCGTAAAGGTTCGAACTTTAGGCCCATGCATCACACTATCACCTCTATATGCCAAAATAACCCTTAATATGATAACCTAAGCCCCAAACTCATAAACGACTGCATAAAGCTGGAGAATAGGGACTCTCTGGACCTCTCAAGGTCCAGATCTGATGATATTGACACAAGGGGACATCACATACACTAGATCTCTTACCAAAAAAAAGAGAAAAAGCCCTAGATTCATGAAATCTATTACTCAATGAAAATGGACATGAATCCTTACCTCCCACAGCAGCTCTGCACCAAATGATGGAAGATTTGAGTCCCACAAGACTGCCTAGCTCGAAATCCTCCCTTCCCTTTGCTAAAACACACCAAATAATGATGAATTAGCCATCCTCTTGCACTACAAACGTACTCTCTGCTCTCTAGGGTTTCTCAGGGGTGTAATGGCCGCAAATGAAAGGCCATAAAGGCCTTTAAATAGGGCACAGACCCCGAAATTTAGGGTTTCCGCCGCCAGCGCAGACTCGTCGAGTCACCAAGCCGACTCATCAAGTCCAATCATTAATCCAGTCATCAAATCGCGATCCTACTCGACGAGTCTAGGCGCCAACTCGTCGAGTCCTTCTCTCTAACTCAAAAATAATGAACAATATAGAATACCTGGGAACCTGGATGTTACAATTTCAAAAAGAAAACTCAAAAAAACTCAGAAGTTAGAAGTTAGAATAATAAGAAAACTAAGAAGTTAGAATAAACAATATCTTGAGTACTTTGTCTGTGTTCGAAGAAGAAAGAAACGTTTGAGTACTTTGTGTAATCGAGTCCAAAAGTAGAAACCAAAAGAAGAAACAAAACCGTAAAAAATAATGATTACAAGTTAGAAAAAAAAAAAAAAAAGATAATAACTGAGAGTATGAGTATTAGTTGAATCCAAGTAAAAAAATTACCCTAAACATCATCTTCTCCCATTAAAAAATTCAACCATACCTCAAGAATGGTATCAATCCGATTGGTAAGAGTGCTCCAGAAGTGCAGAGATCTCTCTGATAATTGACCTTAAGCAGATATCTAGTATTTTGCCTGATGAGTTTCCATGAAAATCCAATATAATTCACTTTGTCGTTTGTTTTCTTGAGCCCCATTAACATTCACAACTTGCACAACCTAGCAACTTCTAATTGGGTACTGCAAACGAAAATTTAAAATGCTATCTGAATAGTAAAAAGGGTTAAGAATTATAAAAATTAAGAAAATTTTCCAAATTATGGACAGTAACCTGATGATTATACTATGAAACAGAAAACCAACATGGATGCATGAATTCAAAAATGTATTCATGTGGAGTGTAACTCTGAATGAAAACTCAATACAACAGAAAATCAGGTAAATGGGTAAAATTGGAAGAAAAGAAAAACCAAAGCCTGATATTTGGAAAATACATCATGGATTACCTGCACACTTTTGGTTTACTTGGCCATTGTAAATTGGATGATTAAATCTACAATTACCACCAGAGATACACACTCCAGCTCTTAAATATTGTATGCAATTAAATACACCAGGTCATCCTAATATGTCATTGAATCGGAGTATGTAGCTTCTAAAATCCCATAATTCAATTTATATATAAAGAGGTTTCACATAATTTAAGCTAATAAAGCCTCTCCGTCATACAAATCAAGGAATTTATGGAGATTTGCTTGCTTTAAAAACAGTTAATTAATTTAAGATCAATTTCTAGATTCAGAGCACATAAACAGGGAAAATTTGGGGATGATAAGCTCTAGTTGTGGACGCAAATTTATAAAATGGTTATGGTAATATATTGCAAATACAAAAAATTGAGTTCAAGAGATTAACCTAGAATGCAATGAGCTGCAAATCTGACAGATTGATCTAAGCGATTTGAAAATTGGGGCTTCTTATTTTTTGTAGTCGCATTCTATGGTTTTGAATCATTCCTTACACCTACAGCATATGCAAAAGAAAAGAGAAATAGATGAAGAACGGAAGCATAATCTTAGAAGTCATCACCTGGACCAAGATGAACAGTGGATAGAAGCATTTATGTTAACAATAAATCGATTAAACGATTCTCGAAGCGATCTTGGCGTCCCAAAATTTCTGTGACCTCGGAAATGTGGTGACATTAGTTGAGTTCGTTTGTTTGGTTAACAGAGGGGAATTTGTTGTAATTGATGTCAATCAGCGTATTGAAGAACCTGAACGCCACCATCACTCCCAAACTCTCTAATCTTCCTTCTTAACAGGAAATTTTTCCATCGTCTTCAACCCCAACTTTGGAGAGATTGAGGAAAGCAACAACGGGTACAGCGCGACGATGAAAGGGGTTGGAGGCGGTGGGAAGACTAAAAGGTGGGAGACAAAGAGGGTTTTAGAAAGAACGTATCACCTGATCAAATGGATTAACTAACCCCGGTGGTGGTGGATGGTAAACTGAGAGAGAACGGTGAAGCGGTGGAATGGGTATGCATATGAGAGAAGATGAAGACTGTAAGGCAAAATATGGGAAGGTGTAGATATTTGACGCGGTGGATTGTTACGTGGATTAATTACAGTAATCAAAGTGGGTGTGGTAAAGGAGAAGTCGACTCGTGTACATGATTAACAGTATGTTTGACCGGTAAAAAAAATGAAATAATGCTGAAGAAAAAAAAAACAAAAAAGAAAAAAAAAATCAAATCACAGAAAGGTACTGTTCACCTTGCACTTGTAAATATATATATATATATATATATATATATATATATATATATATATATATAATATATAAATGTGTAATATCATATACAATTTATAAAGTTATTATAAAAAAAGAAAGTGAACCAAGTTTGTAAATCTAATAAATATAAAACTTGTTTTTGACAAACTATATAAGTCAGATATAAAAGATTATGTTTAAACTTTAAACTATGTTTTTCATTATTAAATATAGTGTTTAAATTATATTTTACATTATTTTCATCAATTTGCAAATTATATTTCACCAATTGGTGTGAACAATATATTTTTTAAGTTTGGATTAGGTCTTATAAAGAACATGTATCATGAGATTAAGACTTCAATCCATTTTACTTTTTGGCTATTTTTTGCCATTCTTTCTTGCTCGTGACTTTCTCGTGAATGATGTGTCCTAGTCCATGTCTTCTCACAAATACAGAGTACGAACATCAGTACTAATCATTGATCAAAGGCAGTAGTTTGTATAAACAAGGGTTATGCTACAAGGCATATACCGGCAACAAAGGGGCTCGTGGTCTACGTGGCCACGAGCGTTGGTCGTGGTGATTTGTGGTGGGGAGATTGGAAGACCACGACCGTTGCCTCTCTTATCCAACCTTCTTCTTCTCCCTCTCTCTCCGTTCGTTGTCGTCTCTGGTACACAAACACCGTTCCGTGGTTCGTGAAGGTCCTCGTGGTTCCGTTCTTCGTGACAAGCATTGCAGATGGCCTAAGTATCATCATTAACCAATTTTACCCCCTTAACATCAATCTAATCAACCTTTTATTTTTGATTTGACATCATTTTTTTTGTATTTTTGTTGTCTTTTATTTTATTTTATATATTATTATCATTATTATTATTATTATTATTATTATTATAAATTTCGATAACCTTATAAAATTCGGACAACATTTTAAAATTCTGATGACATTTTAAAATTCGGACAACATTATAAATTCGGACGACATTATAAAATTCGAACGACTATATAAAATAAAACAAAAGTAAAGTTTGTCTTTATTTTAGAAACAAACCGATACCATTAAAGTTTATTGATAAATTGCAATTCACCCTGTACCATCATGTAATGGTTGATTTACAAGAACCATATCCAATGCCTAATATTTTGTCCAGACTTCTCCGTACATGCAAATCAGAACATTCGGCTGCATGGGTATACAATGGCTCGACTAAATGTTTTCAATCCGCATAACGCACCACGCAAATGTAATACCGAACCAATTAATATTTGTGATAAATAACGACAAACTTTGCTTTTGTTCTGTTTTATATAGCCGTTCGAATTTTATTATGTCGTGTAAATTTATAATGTCGTCCGAATTTTAAAATGTCATCCGAATTTTAAAATGTTATCCGAATTTTATACGGTTATCGAAATTTATAATAATAATAATAATAATAATAATAATAAGATTAAAATAAACAAAAAAGAATTAAAAACAACAAAAAAAAATTAGGGAAAAAAAACAACAAAAGACAAAAAAAAGTTACTTGGGGGGGGGGTGGTTTTGGAAAAGAAATGGAGCTATTTATAGCATTATCCATAAATAATCTCTCGATACCAAAGGCCTTTTAGCTCAACGGTATCAGGTGATGCCCTCACTCCTTCAGATCGAGGGTTCAAGTCTCGGGTGAACATAAGTGGAATTAAGTGTTAGTTTAGGAGTAAATTATAATATTTGTATTTGCCGGTTCAAAAAAACCATTTTCAATTTTTAAACTATCTTTTCATTCTTTCATGAAACTAAAGTTTCATGTATGAGTTCTTGCATGTGAACGATGATGGATTTTTAATGGAAGTTTTAATCTATTTATCTGAAAATGAGTTATATTTTATTTCATAATGGATCAAAAATGAAAAAAAAATAGATGGTGTGTTCGTCAAAACTAACTAGTAGCATGTAGTGTGTATCATGTAGCCGATAGCTGATAGCGTTTTGTTAAACGCTATGTAATATAGCTTTAAGATTTAGAACGTTTTGTTTAAACTAAACGCTAAAAGCTTGTATTGTCAAACAAAGTTTTTTGTTCAAAACGGAGCGTTTTGTCAAACGCTAGAAGCTAGAAGTTCCCAAACGCTCCGTACCAAACACGTCTGTAAAGAAAGTTGGTAAAACGGGGCAAAGTAGTATAAATGTGTTAAAATATCAATAACCTTTTTTATATAAAAGAATATATATGTATTTCAATATTACGGTTCTCGTAAACATATTTAATATGTTAACTATTTAATAATATATTTTTAATCCTCTCTAATAAATGAATGTTTTTTTTATCACTTGTCACACTTTCATTCAATTTACCAAATGTCATTTTGTAGTTATTTTGAATTAATTTTTTTTACACATGTCATTTTTTGAGTTTTTCTATTTTATTAAATTTCACATAATATTTTAATGTAATAATTGCAATAAATATAGTAATAAATTGATATTAATTTTACTAATAAACTTACCTTTTAATTTCAAAATTCCCAAAATTAAAGCTTATTAGTTTCTTTTCTTTATTTAAATTATTAGTTTAAATTTAAAAGATAAAAAACATTTCCACTATAATAAATCATTATTTTTTCTTATTTTCTTATAAATTCAAAGTTCTCAAATATTTTGACATTTATATTTAATTTTTTTTTAAAATTAACCCATGTAATAAATGAGTCTCACAACTAGGGACATATAATATGTTAATTATTAATTCAATTACACTATGAATTTTGATAAAGCAAACATACCGACCGTTTTGCCTTGCACATAAAACTTTCATTATTAGAGAAGGCTATCGTTGTTGTTGTTATTATTATTATTATTATTATTATTTTATTATTATTTTATTATTTTATTATTATTATTATTATTGCGATGAAGGACCTAAATTTTAGGATGTAGAAGGTGGTTATCCATGGTGTTTTTTGTCCGGCTAGAGTGACAAACTCGGAGGTTTATATCTCCCATTTATTTTACACCAACGATGTAATTTTACAGAAGAGTGGTCGCGGGATGCCGAGATAACAATAATGATGTTATTCAAATTTTGCATGTTGTTAACTTCTTGATTTCGAGGTTGAAATTTTAACCTTGTGGGGAGTAATCTTTATGGAGTGGGTATTCCTTTTCACGTAATTGAAGTCATGGTTGTTGCGATCAACTGTTAAGCCTACAACTTTGTCTTTTATTTATCTTGGTTTTCCGGTGGGGCTAAATATGTCCAAGATTGATGGTAGGAAATAGGTTATATATCCATTCAACAAAAATCTCTTTTATTGGGAGGTTAAGTCCCAGCCATTTAACGTTTTTAAATACGATTCTAGCTAGGTGGTCTTTATACTTTTTTCTTTCTATTTTTCGTGTCCCTTTTATTGTTGTCAATTCTCTTGAATCAGTTAGAACTAGATTTTTCTACGGTAGGTAAGTTGGATAATATAAGATGATGTAGATAAAATGGAAGAATATTTTGACTTCTAAATATAAGGGATGATTAAATTTTGATAGCTTTTTTACTCTTAATAGGAAGATGTGGATAAAATGGAAGAATATTTTGTCTTATATATATATATAATATATATATATATATATATATATATATATATATATATATAATATATCTATATAGGTTCATGTGTTTCTTATATTTATTGTATGCTAGAATGCACCAATAGGAATTTAGTAAAATTAAATTATTATTTAATTAAATAAAGATAGATATTAAATGATTTCCATAATTGTATGTATATAAATGATATCCATAATTATAGTTCTCTTATTATGAAAACTAATTAAATTCGTCATTAATGTCAGCAATAACATTCTTTCAGAATGAATTCGTATCTAGGTTTCATGTATGGGTTCGTGTTTTGTTTATGGATCCACACACTTAAAATACAATAAAGTTCCATGGAGTATGAAGAACGATATTGTATTCTACTAGAATATACTCTCATTCTGCTACAATACACTCTCGTTCTCCATGTTTCTGACAACTTTGTTATATTTTGAGTGAGTGAGTCATGAAACAAAATACGAACCCATAATGAAACGTAGAGGAGAATTCATTCTGAAAGAATATTATTGCTAATCTTAATGACGAATTTAATTAGTTTCATAAACAAAGAATTATAATTATGAATATCATTTAATATACATATAATTATGGAAATCATTTAATATCTATTTTTATGTTATTAAATAATAATTTATTTTTTACTAAATTGTTATTAGTGCATTCTACCACACAATAGATGCGAGAAACATTTGAACCTAGCTGTCTCTATATATATATATATATATATCTATATATATATATATATAATATTATATATATATAGATTATATATAGGAGTAGGATCAATGAGAACACCCAAAAGGTTGAGAACGCGAGAACAGATCTGAACCATTTAATAACTAAATCTAAGGTTATTATTGAATGGGCCATTTATGTCAATTTTTTAAAAGTTACAGGTATTAAGTGTAACTTCAAATGGTGATAAGGGTATTATAGTAATTGGACCTTTACCACCGTTATTTAATTCCTATAATTCCTCAATCACTCGCCTATTTCCTTCTATTTCTCATCTCTCTCTTCATCTCTCTCTGTAAACCTAGGTACGCCTCCACCCTACATCATCGATCCACCACAAAAGGGAAAAGAATGGTGAGACAGATTGGATCGATGAAGCCAAAAAGGGGGAAAGGGAAAAGGATCTCTGAATTGCTTTTGATCAGAAGGAGAGGATTCACGAACGGAGCAGGGATCTGGAGGCATAGT